TGTATATAATATACTAGTATATAAAATATAATAAATTATTAGATTAAATAATATATTGATAAACTATATATAGGAATTGTAAATTAGTTTGCTATAAAACTTATCTATTATTAATCAATAGTAGACTTAATAATAATAATATTAGATAAAACATAATATAAAATCAAATCAAAATTTATGTTGTTTTTTTTGATGAAATTTTTTTATTATATTATTTACTTATAATATTGATTAAAAACTAAACTATATATACAGTATATATATATATATATATATATATATATATATATATATATATATACTATGTTTCGTTGAACTCATTGAACAACAAAATTAATGAATGAATCGATAAATTGGTTTTCATTATGTGTTTGTGTGTAAAAAAATAAAATTATTATTTTTTTATGTATAGTATATGTGTTTACTTAATGTTAAATATATTCACTCATCGTTTAGTTGGTTGAATAGGAGGCTCTCTCTCTCTCTTTCTCTCTCTCTCTAACATACCTGAGCTCAAAACAACTATACTGCATACTACGGTATATTATCGGCAATCGGTTAGTATGGAAATAAAAGGGTCTCTAATATATATTAATATAAAATAAAAATACAACAAAACAATCAATAAGTGCCGACTAGTAATTGTTTAGTAATTTAATAGACAGCCGATTACAATGAGAGTGAGAGAGAGAGAGAGAGAGAGAGAGAGAGAGAGAGAGAGAGAAACTGACTGTCCATTAAAAATTGATTTGTCGATTACATACACATAAAAAATACTATAATAAGTAATAATGTATAGCCTGTTGTGTATAAGTTACTCAATATATATAAATTTATAAGTTATATAACCATATAATGAACTGGAAAATAACTTTATATACAGTACTGTATATATATATATATATATATATATATATATATATATATATATATATATATATATATATATATATATATATGTCTATGTAATGGACATGGATTGATTCAACTAAACAGGTGAGCACCGGTATGTAATCAAAAAGGCTTGTAATATTAGTAGTAGTAGTAGTAGTGAAACACATTTTTATAGTTTAAAGAGAGAGAGAGATAGAGACCCCATTAATTCGTGGCTAATATTTTTTTGCTGACTATATATAAGTTATATACTATTATATATATATATTGGTGCGGATCTCCACACCATCAGAGAGAGAAAGAAAGAAAGAGAGAGAGAGAGAGAGAGAGAGAGAGAGAGAGAGAGAGAGAGAGAGAGAGAGAGAGAGAGAGAGAGAGAGAGGTTAGACAGACAGATATACACAGCGGGACCTATAAAATAATGATTTTTAATTTCTCAACCAAAAATAAAAATAATATCACATCCAATACCTCTAAAATACCGGTGCTTTTATACTTGTATATCAAAAAATAAATGTATAGCTAAATACAAAATTTTTTTAAAAATGTTAAATGATTTTTGAAAAATAAAAAACTTATTATAAATATATATATATATTAAGATACTCTACTGTATATTATATGCTGTTATTATTATTAATAATGAATGTTTCAAAAACATCACCACAAAAAAAAACATTTTTTTGCACACATTTAATCGCTAAATAGTTTTTATTACAAATGGGATACACTGTATTAAAAACACTACTAATATTTTTTTTTAGTAGTAGTAGTATTAATATTATATATATATATATATATTATAAATTATATGGTGATATAATATTGAATGATTTCACGCAAAGTTATCCAATAAAATAAAAATTATTAAAATAAAAAAAACAATTTTTATGGCATTAATTGATTTGAGATTTTTTTGTTATATATTTGATAGTTTGATATTTATTAACAACAAATTTTATTATTATTATTACATTTTTCTATAAACGCATAAATTATATTTTTTGATACATTAAAAAATGATACTGTTGAAAAATTGAAAAATTAAAACTAAAAATATATAACAATTTATTTTTTATTAAAACAAATTTTTTAAATAAATAATAAATAACAAATAAATGTCATTGTGTTTGATTATTATTATTATTGAAAAATAATTAATAACAATAAAAAAATATATAATAATTATTAATAGTATGTCATCTAATAAAATATTGATATTTAAAATACACATAAAAATATATAATAATAATAATAATAATATTTAAAAACTATCAATTTCTAAGACAAACATTTACATTAAAAACAATATAATTTATAACATATTTAGTTATTTATAGCTTTATTTCATAGAAAAAAATAGAAACAACTTTTTTAAAAATTAAAACTTTTTTTTTATTTATGTGTTTTATAAACAAAATATATTGTAATTATTTTGTGTTTAATTATACATAAAACTTATGTATACAACAACCAAAAAAAATAAATAAATGTTTTTATTATTATTAATAATAATTTTTTTCTAAAAAAATAAAAATAAGTTTAAACAATAATTACAAATTATAAGCGACGACCACTCATATATATATACATATTTATATATATACAAGTATATTACATATAGTAAAGTGTAATGGACTGGTAGATATAGACATAGATAGACATGTACTGTATATATATACGGTATATATAAATATATATATATTTGTAGTGTCTGGTTTGAGATCAGATCACTACTAGAGGGTGATTAAGGAGGCGCCGGTTGTTTAGCGTGGGTCGGTATGAGACCTACAACCAGTTATCTACTTAACCACTAGTATGTTATCACCTGAAGGGTCGTTATGAGACCAATCAAGTGGTATATATGATGATCACTTGCAGTTGTGGTGCCGAAGTAAGGCAGGAGTTGATCCGTACGTACCGATGATGTCTTCCTATCTCTTGATTTACTTGATTGTGGAACTGTAGGCCAATGTTGGGAACAACCGGTTGAGATGTCTTGAGATTCCTGATATATCTTCAACGATCGGTTGGGACAGTAATGGTGATAGCAGTGAATGAATGGTAGTTAAGACACAGTTTCAATTAATAGTACTTTTATTAGTTAAACACAATTAATATTTGATTGAATACAATGGTTTGATTTGAAGTACAGTATTGTAGAGCACATGTATTGAGTGCTATAGTAATGGTATAACTCTATATTGAGTAGTAGGCTAACTGAGAGGTCAGTATGCGCTTAGTATGCGATATGTAGTTACTGTCTGTATGACTGTCTGTCTTACTGTCCAATGTAAGTGTAAAAGCCTACAGTATTTATAGATCTTTTTTGACAACCGGTTGTGTGAGAGAGGACGGGTAGCTATTGGCTAAATTGAATGACTTTTGAACAGTTAGTGGTAGCGGCAGATAACTGTCAGGTCGGCGCCAATAGATTGGAGGCAACAAACGGTTGTTCAGAGAATCGGGTAATAAAATACTGTATATAGTTTAGGGTCTAATTTGAAAATAGAAATATAAATCCAAAAATAGTTGCAAAATAATAGATAAACAAATAAATGATAAAATAAATGCAAAACTAAAAGGTAATAAAATTATTTCAATAAATTTATGCTAATTAAAAGCATATTCACTACACTCCCCGGCGCTTTAAGACTGGTCGCGGAGGTAGTATGGCTCGAGTTGACCGACGTGGACCAGGAATGGATCAGTTGACCGGTTGTATTGTTGTATAGAAGCGTTGACGGGTCCTGGGATAGCCATGACAATGAATGGTCCTTCAAATCTTGCGGACAGTTTCTTGAGATCCGGATGGTTAGATGGAATGCGACGTTTGACGAGTTGTCCGACTTTTAGGTCAATCGGTTTGTGCTGACGATCGTAGGCTACTTTAGCTTTGGCTTTGTGTTGGTCGGTATTATGTTTGGCCTGTTTTCTAGCATCCGTTAGTTCCACTCGCGTATTATGATTGTCATTTCCATACATGAGGAATGTTGGCGAGAAACCGGTTACTGTATGTACCGTGTTGTTGTAGTTCATAGTGACTTCCTTGAGCAAAGTTGTCCATTTGCGTCGCGGATTAGCCACTAATGCCATTGATAATCCTGTTTTGATGGTTCTGTTTACTCGCTCATTCGTGCCATTAGACTGCGGATGATATGTGGATGTATAGAGATGTCTGATATCGTGTTTAGTTAGAAATCTGTAAAAGTCTTTAGACTTAAACGATTTGAAATTATCGGTTAACAGAGAGTCGGGTTTACAACCGGTTATTTTAATTATGTCGCCCAATAATGATATACAAGCAGATGAAGTGTTTGTTGGTGTAGCTTTTGTCCACACGTAACGGGAATGGTGATCAATTACAACTTGTATATACCGGTATTGATTACCGTTTGTCTCTTTACCCATGACCATAGTATCCATTGCAATTAGTTTCATCGGTTGATCGGGAGTAGGCAATGGTTGTAGTTGACCATAGGTTGCATGATTGGATACCTTAACCAATTGACATGTTGGACACGATTTGACGTACTCTTTAATGTCATGTATCATATTTGGCCAATGATACTGTATTTTAATTTGTTTAGTGGTTATCCGTATTCCAGGATGACCACTGTTGTCATGAGATGTTTCTAGTAGAGAATATACTAGACTTGGAGGGATAATAGTGAGTTTTCGACCATACTTTATAATAGTCTGAAGTATTTCGGTATCGTTTGATGTGAAAGTTGGTCGACTTTGTGATGAGACAACCGGTTGGTGGTTGTCAGCTGTAGTAATCACTTGTACCGGTTCCTCATATGTAGACTTGAGGTCGGCATCGCGTTTTTGGTGTTGATGTATAATAGCTTCGCGTATGAAATAATTGGCGGGCGCTCTGGACAAGGCATCCACGTGAGCCATTTGTTTACCCGGTTTATGGATGATTTCGAAAGTATATAAACTCAACTCTTCTGACCAACGAAATAGACGTTTTTTCGTTGATTGGAAGTTAATGAGCCATTTGAGTGCTTTGTGGTCAGTATATAACTTGAATTGAACGCCTTCTAGATATATGCGAAAGTAACGGATGGCGTCATGAACGGCCAGGCATTCAAGTTCGGTTACAGTGTATCGTGTTTCAGCATGGCCAATTTTCGGGAGTAATAGCCGATTGGTTTTCCACTTTGAAATAGTATGCCAGCGATACCGATTGCGGAAGCGTCGGTGTGGAGTTCAACCGGTTGGCTATGGTTGTATATCCCGCGTACCGGTTCGGAAGCCATTAGTTTCTTGAGGTTGTCAAATGACTCTTGATGTATTTCAAGCCATTGAAACTCTTTAGCTTTTGACTTTTTCATAAGTGTTGTCAATGGTGCGGTAACTGAAGCAAAGTCGGGTATATATTCGCGGAGATAGTTTGCCAAACCGTGAAATCGTTGAACATCTTGTTGAGAAGTTGGTATCGGAAAGTTTAGTATCGCTTTCACTTTACTATCCGGCGGACGTACTGTTTTACCATCGATGATATGGCCTATGAATTCAATTGATTTTTTGAAAAACTCACATTTTTCTTTCTTTAGTCGGGCATTATTTAGGGACAACCGGTTAAACACTTCATTTAATAATCGGTTGTGTTCGTCCAGTGATGATGAGTAGATTATGATGTCATCCAAGTATGATATGACACCGTTATTATGGAGATTTCCGAGAATCTTACGCACTACTCGATGAAAAGTTGCGGGACTATTCTTGAGTCCGAAAGGTAGGACTGTCCACTCATAGTGTCCGTCGCGGGTGACGAATGCTGTTTTATGTATGTCTTCTGGTGAGACGGCGACCTGCCAATAACCTGAAGCGAAATCCAATTTTGAGAATACAGTTGATCCTTGGAGACGGTCAATGACGTCAGCGATAACCGGTAATGGGGTCTTGTCGGCGACAGTTTTCGTATTGAGTCGACGGTAATCCACACACAAACGATATGTGCCGTCTTTCTTAGGAGCCAAAGTGATCGGTGCAGCGTAAGGGCTCACGCTTTCCCGGATTAGTCCTTTTTGTAATAGGTCCTTCACTTGGCGGGCAGTTTCAGCTGCCATTGGAAATGATTGACGGTACGGGCGCTGTGCTGTAGGCTCATTGTCAGTCAATACGATTCTGTGCTCTTCAATTTTAATGCGGCCTAAGTCAGTAGAGTCGGCGGCAAATATTTGTGAATATTTGTAAATGAGTTGATCCACATTTTTATTAGGTATTGTAGGCAACCGGTTTGTTGTGGGTTGAATGGCCATATAATTGCAATGATGACCGGTTGACTTTAAGAATGGGTGTATTTTGTTTGACCATTTATACGATACAGTTTTAGAGTGTGTATCAATGATGACACCATAACGGCCAAGAGAGTCGATAGACATGAGAAGTGTATACTCGAATCCGTTAAGGACTTGTGCTTTCATAGTACGTGTCATCCTATTAATTGTCAGTTTAAATGCTACTTCACCAACGGTACGTATCGATCCACGAGCAAGTGATACGCTTGTTGATCGGCGATAGTTAATTGGAAGCCGTAGATGTTTTGCTACGTAGAGTGGCATTAGATCCACTGTTGAACCTGGATCAGCAAAAGCAGATAGTTCGAAATTCCCTATACGTCCCGGTATTAAGATTATGTTTTTGACATTAGCTGCTGATGCCATGGTTTGGGGACGTATGTAATGATTAGAGGTATCGGTTGATTGACTTGAATCACCAATGTTTGGTGTGACAACCGGTTGTGGTACGGTTGGTTTATGAGGGCAATCTTTATGATAGTGCCACGATGTCTGGCCACGGTCACGGCATATGCGACATGAATATGGTGGGCGAGACTTGTCTTTTGAATCACGTTTGTTGGGAAAACGTTTGCTGAACCTATCGTTATTCTTGTCGGTTGTAAAATGTGATGAGCCGGGTTGTCTGTAATGTCGATTACGTGATTTGTCGGCTTCTATATCTTGAGCCATTTCCAGCCACTCTGTGGTTGATTTGAATCGACGGCCATAAAAGTATTCGCGATAGTCAGGGATGAGTCCATCGGTGAGGAGGTTGGCTTTGTCGTTATCAGTGTAGTTCTTGACTCGACGTAATAGCTTTAGTTTTTCGTCATAATATTGTTTTATGCTTTCGGCCTTTTGTTGGCGTCTTCTATTTGCGGCCACAACGGGAGGTATGTCGGAGTGTGCGTACCGGTCTAGTAGTAATTGCTTTGCATGAGTCCATGTGACGTCAGGACCGGTTAAGATATCCGAGCCATAGTAGTTGGCGGCGTCGTCTGTTAGAAACTCCATTATATCATCGACTTTGTCGTCATCGGAGTTCAATCGAAATGCTCTGTCAAACATCGATATGAATGCTTCTATCGTGAGGTCTGAATCTGAAGAGCCACTAAACTTCGGTATCTTCCGTTGTTTAGGTTTTGATTTACCGGTTGTATCTGTCGGTGCACCGCTTGAGATATGCACAACCGGTTCAATAGAGTTATTAACGTCATTACCATTAATAGACATGTTGTCTAAGTTTGTATCTTCGGTTTCGTTAGAGTTGCTATCGCTGTGAGGTATATCTTGTCGTCGATATAGAGTTCCGCTTCTTGTAAGTCCAGTGATAGGGGTTGTCATCAGCTATGCGAAGGTAAGGATCGTAAGTATGATCAGTGCTGACTGCGCCAATTTGTAGTGTCTGAGTTGAGATCAGATCACTACTAGAGGGTGATTAAGGAGGCGCCGGTTGTTTAGCGTGGGTCGGTATGAGACCTACAACCAGTTATCTACTTAACCACTAGTATGTTATCACCTGAAGGGTCGTTATGAGACCAATCAAGTGGTATATATGATGATCACTTGCAGTTGTGGTGCCGAAGTAAGGCAGGAGTTGATCCGTACGTACCGATGATGTCTTCCTATCTCTTGATTTACTTGATTGTGGAACTGTAGGCCAATGTTGGGAACAACCGGTTGAGATGTCTTGAGATTCCTGATATATCTTCAACGATCGGTTGGGACAGTAATGGTGATAGCAGTGAATGAATGGTAGTTAAGACACAGTTTCAATTAATAGTACTTTTATTAGTTAAACACAATTAATATTTGATTGAATACAATGGTTTGATTTGAAGTACAGTATTGTAGAGCACATGTATTGAGTGCTATAGTAATGGTATAACTCTATATTGAGTAGTAGGCTAACTGAGAGGTCAGTATGCGCTTAGTATGCGATATGTAGTTACTGTCTGTATGACTGTCTGTCTTACTGTCCAATGTAAGTGTAAAAGCCTACAGTATTTATAGATCTTTTTTGACAACCGGTTGTGTGAGAGAGGACGGGTAGCTATTGGCTAAATTGAATGACTTTTGAACAGTTAGTGGTAGCGGCAGATAACTGTCAGGTCGGCGCCAATAGATTGGAGGCAACAAACGGTTGTTCAGAGAATCGGGTAATAAAATACTGTATATAGTTTAGGGTCTAATTTGAAAATAGAAATATAAATCCAAAAATAGTTGCAAAATAATAGATAAACAAATAAATGATAAAATAAATGCAAAACTAAAAGGTAATAAAATTATTTCAATAAATTTATGCTAATTAAAAGCATATTCACTACAATATATATATAAAACGCCCGGTTTTTTCAACCATATAGTTCCCGGTGCCTAATGAACATAAAATATATATAAAACAATTGCATAATAACTCATATATCATAACTCGTAAAATGTTTTTTTTGTAGTTGTATTAACTTTTCAATTATATATATAAACAGAAAATGTATAGAAATTAGCAAATAATGTATATTTTAATGAATATATATATATATAACTAAAATAATAATTATTATGAACACAATTTAAGTCACAAAAAACATGTTTTTTGTTTAAATAATAATTACTATAATAATAATAATAACTAATAAATTATTTCTCAATTTCATTGTAATATAATGCTATTTATAAGTACTTTACATTTTTTAAGTATATTATAAGTTTATTTAAATATTTACTTTTTTTAAAAAACATAAATATGTATTTGTTTTGCTTTTTTTGTGTTAATAAAGATATTTTTACTCATTTTTTAAAAAAATATCATAATTTAAACAATTTATACATAAATAAAAAAACAAAATCACAAAACAGTAATAACTATTGATTTAATTTCATTTCATTGATTAATAATAAGCTATTTATTTAAAACTATTATATATAATAATAAATTTATATCTAAGTTTAATTAAGCAATAAAAATAGATTATAAATATATATATATATATATATGTAAATAAATTGATAACAATTACTAAACTAATTAAAAACAAGCAAATAATTGTCAAATTTTATTAATTGTTAGCAAACAAAATAAAAAGTATATATTTCTTTTATTTAAAAAAATTTAATTATCAAAATGCTAATCAAATAATATATTGATGACTTGAATTTGTTTATATATAAAAAACAACTATAGTTTTTTAGTAAATTTTTTTTGTATATCCAATTAATCAATTAATAATTTAAATTTTTGTTTGTTTTGTGATTTATTATTATTATTATTCATTGAATTAATTTATTTTTATTTTAATTATTTATTCAAAATAGTTAAGAGAGATAGGAGTAGTCATCACTAGATATCATCGCATGTATTAAATTAGATAATAAATAATAATTGAAAAACAAATATATATATATATATATATTGTATCACTTATACTATAATATCAAACAAACAAACAAAATGTGATTATCTATTGTATAACACTTGTCGCTGGTTATAGTGGCGCCTAATATCAGACACACATTCATATAAACTATAGTATAATAAATAAAACAATTTAAAATCAAAAAAAAAATAAAATAAATTAACAACAACAACAAAACATATACACTTGTTTAATGTGTGATTAAATTAAATGATTTTTATATATATATATTTGTTTGGTGCCCATATTGTGAGGCCAATCATCACTACTATCACTAACAAACAAACAAAAAAATCAAACATATATATAACATATTACTTGTGTTGCACTTTTTGAATTTGAAATTAGTTTATATATATATATATATATATATATATATATATATACATATATATACAGTAGTGTATACCATATTCATGTGATACCCCTGTAATTAATAGCTTAACCATCACTTTTTGGTATTGGTATGGTGTGGTTATGGTTATGGTTTGGCATATGAGAAATGGGATACCGTTTTTTTGGGGGGGAGGGAGGGAGGGAAGGATGGGGACTGATATGTAATACATCCTTATATATATATATATAAATGAATGAGTATTTGTTTTATACTACTAAATAATAATTTTTTTTTTATTGTATATACTGTATATATGTGTGTGTAATGTAATTCAAGATAATTCATGGCATTTATATTATGTTATATATTTCATATAAAAAAAACTTTATATTCAATATTCATATCAATTATACAGTATATATGTCTCCAATAGTGAACTACTAGTTTTATAAGAGAGAGAGAGAGAGAGAGAGAGAGAGAGAGAGAGAGAGAAAGAGAGGAATGGGAGGCTTGGCTTTTATTTTTGTTGTTGAATTAAATTGAAACAATTTGCTCACTGTTGGTGGGCACCCCCTCCCCCCTCTCATACATACATAGTTATGTTATGGTATTTTTTTGGGCACCAGTATTATTACTACTACCTGTATAGTAGTAATAGATATTTAATAAAAATTAATGGCACTCTTGTTTTGTGTTATGAGGCGCTGGCACTGGCATACCATTTGGGATATGACATACCATACCATACCATACCCGACAATATTATGGGGTATCACTGTTTAACAACAACAACAACGAGAAATTCAACACAGATTTATTCAACACATCATTAAATTTAATTGAGTTTTTTTATATTATTATTTGAAATTTTATTTGATTTTATTTCATACAAATCATAGTACTGTATAAGCTATGTATAGCTTATATACAGTATATATATATTAACAAATAGTTTTAATAATATAAATAATACTAATATATTAAATACTAGTAGTAGTAGTAGTAATATATAACTCAATTTTGTGGTTCAATAACAACAACAAAAAGATAACATTTTTTTGATGATTAAACCCACAGTTGTTCACCAAAAAAAAATAACAAATTAAATCAAAATAAATTGTTTTTTATTTATAAGTTATTTTTAAAATATGTTTAGCACTTTACCTATTACTATGATTTTATTATTTTTTTTACTATCAAATGATAACTATATATATATAAATATTAAGTTTAAAAAAATACATTGAGATTGATATTATTGTAGCATTGAATTACTAAATAAACAATCAAAAAATAACTTATTATAATATATACTTATAAAATAAAATTGTGTTCATAATATAAATTGACATTTTATGGCATTTGATAAATAGATATCTATATATATATATATATATATATTATACAATATTATTATTAATGTTATATATATAAATAGTGGGGACTACCCTTTTTTGTTGTTGTTGTTGCTTCTCATACCTGTAGCACCGGTATGTTACACACACACACACACACACACACACACACACACACACACACATAGTCAGTGATTAAGCGATTAAGCTGTAATAACAACAACAATATTGTGATTTCAAAAAATTGAAATAAATGTGTATTTCATATGAAAATAATACTGTAAATTACATGCACACAAAAAAAACATGTTTTATTTGTATAGTAATGGGTATTATTCATAGTATAGGAATTTCCATAGAAATAACTTTATTTTATTTATTAACAATTTTTTTTGTTGCGAAAAAAAATCAAGTTTTGTTTTTAATATATAAATTAATATTTATATGTATTTATTTGTTGTTAACTTAACATTAGGTCGTTGTCCATAATATATATATAGTATTTAAAAAAATAATAATAATATTTTTTAAATACACTGCAATTGATAACTAATTTAATATTCAAATAATAATAATTAATATTATTTAATTACTTAATTATACGAAATGTACTAGGTGTTATAAATAATTATTAGTTACAAAAATATAATGTTAAATTTACTTATATATACGGTATATATACTGTAGTATAATATAGTTTATATATTAATACTATTGTTGTTCAAAATCATAGTAAAATAATTTATTTCTAATTTTTTTTATATTAATAAATATTAAATATAATTTGTTTGTTTGATTGGTTTATCGATAATAACTTTATAGCAAAATATATATCAATTATTGATTACTCTCTTTCTCTCTCTCTCTCTCTCTCTCTCTCTCTCTCTCTCTCTTTAAAACAATTTCAGTCAACAGTTTTTCAATTTTATTAAAGTTTTTAAAGAGAGCTCTCATTTATTTTTTTTTTACTTTTACAGATAATACTGTATTAATAGATATCTAAGTAATAGTAAATTTTCAAACACTATTTATAATACACGCAAAAAATTGTTTGCATAATAAATGGACAGTAAAAAAACATACAAACAAATAGACAACAAAACAAATGGTAAGTTGAATCAAATGGGAGAAAAAATAGTTGTATTTTAAAATTAAAAACAAAATTTAAAAACAAAAATTTGAATCCTCTTTGAAGTCAAGAGTTTTTCAAAAACTAACTCTCAATTGTTTGATATTTCTCTCTCTCTCTCTCTCTCTCTCTCTCTCTCTCTCTCTCTCCCTCCCTCTCTCCTCTCTAAGTCATAGTATTGTATATATATTCACTAATGTTTGCAATATATAACAAACTGCTGGTGTTAGACACAAGAGAGAGAGTTTTAAAAAACTATTTTTTTATTTTCCAATATATTATATTAAGATTTTATTTAATATTTTTTTTATAATAATTATTTTTTTTAAATACTTAAGTTAACTATCGAATTGTATTTGTTATTCCCATTTGACATATGATTTGTTTGGTTAGTTGTTTGTTATTTTTTTGTTGTTGTATTATTATTATTATTATTATTATATTACCGATGAGTTTGTATACTTACTGTACAATACAGTAGTGTTTTTAACATAACTACTATATATTATTGTCCAAAACATCACTATCTCTCTCTCTCTCTCTTTGCTCTCTCTCTCTCTCTCTCTCTCTCTCTCTCTCTCTCTCTCTCTATTAGATACCTTAAGGCAATAATAATAAGTCTATTGAAAAAGTTTTAAAAATTTTACGGATGTCTGCGATATTTTCATTTATTTAGTTTATAATATATTATATATAATTTTTTTTTAGATATACTGTACTCATAATATTTATAATAATAAAAAATTGTTTGTCAACAACAATTGATAAAACAAAAATTATTATTTATTTAAAAAAAATTACTTTTATATTATTATTATAATTATAACAAAATACTAATAAATTTTTTTAAGACAATATTTTACTAAACAAATTGTGAATTTTATTCAAACATATTTGTTTTGTATATATATATATTATATATGTTTATAATATTTGTTTTTTTCACCTAAAATAAAATTGATATTATTTAAAATTACATGCATATATATATAATTGTTTTTTATACAAAAATAAATTAATTGTTTTTTTAAATGAAAGATTACAATGTAATTTCAGCACCGGATAAAACACACATATATATAAAAAATAATATTTTTTATAAAAAAATAAAATAATTATTATTATAACATATTTGTCTAAATATATTTTACAATATTACAAATAATATTTTTTGTTGGAAAAAAATTTGTTTCCATATTTTTTTTCACAATTATATATTAAAAAAAATTAATAATAAAACAAAAAACACACAAAATAATTAATAGTATAATATATATATATATAAAGTTTTTTATGATTGTATTGCAAACATTTGAGTATATATTTTATTTTAATTTTTTTTTAATTTGTATTTCTATATAATTATATTAAATATTAATCCAATAAACGGATTATATTTGATAACAATGTAAAGTAATAAAAATAATTTTTATATATAAAATATATATATATATATTATTATATTTGGAAAAATACAATATTATAATAAAAATGTTTTTTTTAATATATAGATATAATATATCCAAACCTATAAAATAATATTATTTATAATGACTCCCTTTATATCATATAATAATAATAATAATATATCTATATATGCAATACTGATAGTAAACTCATATATTAAATACAAAAAATAATATTTAATATAATATAATAAATAATATACAGTATTACATGTGTAATATGTTATTTAATTTAACTTATTTAATGGCTTAATTTTAATGAGTTTGTTATTATCATTGTTTTTCATTTAAAAAAACATAAATAAAAAAATTCAAAACATAGTGTTTTTCAAAACAACAATTTTTTTTTGGTTTAATATAAAGTAATTGTTGAATGAATTACAGCAAATCAAACTACAGGTGTATACCTGTGTATATACCTGTACTATCCAATAGTAATGTATAGTTTTTTGTATAGTCATTAAAAAACAATATCAAAAATAATAATAAAAAAAAAGTTGTTTAAAATCTCACTGTTTGTATGTATAGGTTGTTTGCGTCAAGTTTTTTTTTATTTCATTGTTGAATGAATTAATATATATAATATAATTTTGTATAAAAGTTTATCCTATAAAATATAGGATACTTTTTATTTGAATACATGATTTATACATTTATAACAGTACTATAATATATATACAGTATATAAAGTTATAACACTTAACTTAAGGGGTATTTTTTCGGTTCATTAAATCATAATATAATATATTTATATATAATTTTTTTTGCTGTCTTGACTGTGAATCTAACATTTTTTTAAAAAAATAATATAACAAATAATAATAATAATTGTTGTATTTAACAGAAGCATAAATTTTTTTTCCTGCAATTTATATATACATATATTTTTTAAGAGAGAGAGAGAGTCTATAAAAATGTTGTGTAAATAATAATTTGAATGATTTATTCAATGGGCACTTTTATTATTATTATTATTATTAAAATGAAAAGTGAAAATGTGTTATATAAAGAAAAAAATAAAATAAATAATTTTAAATAATAAATAAATAACACTACAGTATATTTTCATTGTATCAAAAAAAACTTATATATTTTTTTTTACTATATATATATAACTTATATTATATTTAAAAAAATATATTATATAAGTGTTTGTTTCAAACAGCAGGTGTGAGATACACATTATAAAACTTTTTTTTTATATTTTAGACATGAGATGACATTTTAGATAGAAATCATAAATATATTTCAACAACAAAAAAATAAAAGCCATAATAAATATATTTAAATAATATATTATAATAGTTTATTAAACAACGATTTTATTCACACTATTTAATAATTGCACAAAAATATACTGTAAATACTTATCAAGTGTTTCTTAAATATATAGATATATGAGTTTACTTATTGTATATAATATATTGATATTTTTAATTTTTTTATATATATAAAAAAAATGATAACAACTTTGTATAGATATATATATATAATAAGAGAGATATGACATACAATTTAATGGATGAAATAAAAATTATAAAAAAAAATGATTGAATGAAATGAATCAATGATTGATTGATTGAATGGATGAACGATTAGGACAGTTATGTCCGTCTACTATGTGTTGAGCGACTGACCCCTACTAACTGATCCCTACATTTGATCCCTGGGTTTCATTTGAATTTTTTTTTATGGTATAAAGTCATCATCAAATTGCATACCTTCGCCATCGCTTTCGAGTATCAGATCGAAAGCATTTTCTAGACTATCATCGGCGGTAAAGTCTGGCCAACAACTTGACCGCAACGATTCGAGCGAATGTAACGAATCGGTTTCGGTAGTCGACGGCGAACTGCACGACGTTGTCGGCAAGTGATCACTGGAGCCGCAACTGGACGGCCTATGCATGAGTAGTGAGTCGGCAAACGGTAGGCCAGTCAACAGTGCCGACACATCCGACGGCAGACTGGCTATGGCGGCGGCGACGGCAGCATTATCGGTGCCATCAGCTGAGTTACCACCGGTAGCTGATTGGCCACCCGAGTCGGCATCGCTTAGTATTTCGGTCAGCGCCCGGATATAGTTGACCGCAAGCCTTAAGGTTGTAATTTTTGTCAGTTTTGAATTGGATTTGTCGTCCAAGTCGTCGCCGCTGACCATATTGATGACCATATCGTCGGGAACTTCGTCGGGAAAATCTGGTACAACATTCCTCAGCGCTTCGAAAGCTGTATTCATTTCCTAATAATAATAATAATAATATTTATTATTAATCCAAAAAAAACAAAAATATTTTTTTTTTAAATCTATACTATTATTATTATACAATATATTGTTTATATGAAATTATTTCTATACAGTAATATACAGTTGAATAGAAAAAGTTTATAAATTATAATATATTATTATTATAGATAATATGAAAACTTTTTTTTTAATTTATTTTTTTTTGGTTACAAATTTGCATTGATTTTTGTTGTTGACTGACATCACTGAAACAGTTAATCAAAACTATTTTTTTTAAAAACTAAATCAAATTTTTTTGTTATATTTTGATTTTGGTTAAACATTTTTGGTTTTTAATATCAAATCAAAAAACCAATGGTTTTTAATTGCAAATCAAATCATTATTTTCTCTCTCTCTCTCTCTCTCTCTCTCTCTCATATGTATATGTATAACATTATAAAATAATACATGTATTACAAAAAAAAGTTTGTAATACAAACTATATAGGATTAAACTATAATATAAATTTTGATTTTATGAAAATGAGGTTTTATTTTTTTTAACATATCAGTCATTTATATATGTATACAGTATATATATATATAAAAAAAATCTCAACTAATAATTGGTAATACAAATTAAAAATCAATCAAATTTATACACTTTATATATATTGTGGACTAATCTCTTATAAAAGATTTTTAGGATTTTTTTCACGCGACTACTGTATAGTACAGTATATATATACTAATCGTTGAAATAAAATTAATTTTTATCTAAATTTCATTTGAAGTGAATATCAAAAAAAAATTATATAAATTTATATAATAAAAAAAACTAAAACATTTGACACAACACGCAAACCTATGGTCTAAATCGATTAAATATATATATTATATATATATTTAATATATAACTTTATCTATATATTCAATACATATAAAACTAAACATTAAATATAATTTTTTTGTGTGTGTTATATACAGTACTATACATACAGTATATTTAATTCACAACAACTAAGAGATCAAATTTACAGATTCAATAAATTATATATATATATATATATTCACAAAAAAAATTAAGTATAAATAATATATTGAATGCAAAATAGAGAGAGAGAGAGAGAGAGAGAGAGAGAGAGAGAGAGAGAGAGATTTCTCACACCATTATAGAGATAAAAAAAATTAAGAAATTTTTTCATCCATTAGTGAGAGAGAGAGGAACGGGAGGTATAAGTAGTGATTAGTTGGGCGATAGTCTATCGTGCATAGAGTAAGTAGTAGTAGTAATAGTAGTCGAGTGGCGGCTCATACCTGCATTCGGCACCGTTCCCTCAAGTTTGCCGTTTTTCTCCTATATTTGCTAAGTGGCGGCGGTTTTTGTTTGGGTTTCGGTTTTTTTGGCTCCTTTTTTCGCTTCTCCGTTTCGATCCGGTTCTGTATGGACCGGACTCTCAAGTTGTACTTATCTAATGCCGGTATCTTAAGGTCCGAATCGGACGTATCCGACGATCCCTTAGTCGACTTGGATCTGGTCGACCGTCGTCTGCCGTCGGCGATTGGCTCAACCACTTCCTCCTCGTCCTCTTCGACCACACTTTCCATCGGTATTATCATCACTTTGTCTGGTTGTTGATGAATGGCTGTCTCTGTAAACTCCATTACTATTATTATTAACTCCCTGAGCGTCGTATGTATTTAAACCACTAGTTAATTGTCTATAAAAATAATTTTTGTGTCGACACTTAGTGATGACACACACACACACACACAGGTAATCAATAATTAGTTTTTAAGTTTATATATATATATATATAAAAAATAAATATATTTTTTATTTATCAACAAATTTGTTGAATAGTTTGAAGAGATTTTTTTTCTGCAAGAATTTGTCGACAAATTCTTGTCTCTCTCTCTCTCTCTCTCTCTCTTTAATCAGTAAAACGTTTTTTTTGCCTTTTATTTATTTGTTTGGTTATTGAGAGACAGGTTAGGGCTGTATTAAGTGGATATGTGTGGCGATGAGTGTGAGGACTGACTGACTCACTCATACATACACACACACACCGAGAGTGCGACCGTATAATCAGGAATGTTATCACCAGTTAATTGACACAAACAAACCGTCAGTTAATAAAAAAATATTTTGTGGCACTTCTTGAAGCTTCTTCAGCCACTTGAGTCAGTCGTGTTTTTTTTGTTGGGTATAACACATACACACACACTGTCACTGAGTGGCTGATCCGTACAGGGCTTACACCACACACACACACTCACTAAACTATTTAGTAGATATGGATAAACACTCCCATATAATACCAACACAACAATAACTTCGGGTATAGTTAGCTAAAGGAACGGTATATATCTCTTTTGTGGTGACTTTCCTTTACTTTTTTGAAACATACGATTCCTCACACTCTGTGTCTTCAACTAAAATCTTCTTCACCGGTATGTTGTGTTAGTTGTGAAGACCTCTTTTAGCGGATCTACTACTCCGAGGCAGTCAGTCAGTCAGTCAGGCAGTACGCCCTTCAATATATATACGATATGATGATTGAAAAGTAGTCTAAACTTTATGGGAGAGAGAAAGAGAATCCCTGAGCTCTCAGAGAGAGAGATAGATAAGAGAATCCCTGTGCTTAAGATAGACAGTGGTCTACAGCCGCTGCCGCCGACACCACCACAACAGCCTATGAATGACTTATTCTTCTACTTCTTATTGAGGGGAAAGTTGACCTTAAGTTTTTAGGAAACGTTTATTTTACATAACGTTAACAACGCCCTGAATATAATCATCGATTTAGTTGGTGACGGCTTTTTATATATCAGTTTATATTATTATTATTATTATTATTACTTTTTAAAAAAATATATTATATATTATAGATATATATCTCTCTGAGTTGATGAGCGATAAAAAATTATATATCAGTTTTTTTTTGCTAACTATATGTTGATTAATAGTGTATATACACCAGTATTTTGTCAGCAATTTTTTTTATAATATACAGTATATTAAACACAATATTTATAAATAAGTTTTTTTTAAATATTTTCAAGAATTGTATGAAAAAAAATTCTTTATATTTATTATATATATTCTTGAGATGGACTTCTAGTTGTACTTTAAAAACTTGAATTGATATTAATGTTTAATATTATTATTATTAGTAGTAGTAATAGTGGTAGTATTGATATTACAATTATTGATATATTTATATTTATTAATTATAAATAGTTAGTATCACTTTTTTGTTGTTGTCACACAATTGATGATTGAATTTTAAAAAAAAATAATTATTAAAATATATATTGTCAACAATTGTTATTTATAAATATATATAATTTTTTATCATCAAAAAAATTCACTATTTATCAGGTATTTTATATTTATTATATTTTATATATATTAAAATATTATAGTTATAGAGATCACACACATATGTAAGTATCGGTATCTTATGAAAACATATGATATTCAACACACTGTATACTACTATAATGTAATGTTTTTTTTTAAAAAGCAATAGTTATCAACAGTTTAAGGTTTAAAGACAGGTATGGTTTGTTGCGGTAGTAGTGATGATGAGCTGAGAGGAGAGCGCATACATACATACACAGCACAGACAGTCAGACAGACACACAACCTCTTTGAGCGACTGCTGTCTCTCATATGAATATTATTTCTTTTTAGGAGAAGCGCTGAGATCGCTAACAAACAGCTCACTCGAGAAAAATGCTATTTTTTAAACTTTTTTTTTTTTAAATGAAAAGTTGTTTCTTGTTTTAGCAGTCGTTTTGTATATTTAGGGGCAAGTCTTACAAAGTGACTCTCTCTCTCTCTCTCTCTCTCTTTCTGGCACTTATACATACCGGGGCGGGCGGTATCTACACTAATACACATAACACTGTTAAGGTTAGGCCGATTTTTACAGGTACTACAGCACACACTTGATATTAGACTTAAATCTCTCTCTCTCTCTCTCTCTCTCTCTCTCTCTCTCTCTCTCTCTCTCTCTCTCTCTCTCTCTCTCTCTCTCGGAGTCAATATTTAAATGAAAGCTTAGTCTTATATTAATAATATAAAATGCAGTTTATTGCTGTGCACAGGTATGTGTGTGTATGTATGTGTATGTGTGCTGTTATGTAAGCTTTTTAAAAACTTACATTATATATATATGTGAAAAATACCGCATCTATATGTATATACTTTACATAGGATTGCATGAATATATCTACTGTTAATAATAATCAAAATAATAATAATAATAATAATTTTTTTTGTAAAATAAAAATCTTATGCAAGAGTTGTTAATATCAAACATATATTATATATATATATATATATCAAAACATTTCATATCATTTCATCCACAAAAAAAAAATTTTTAAAGCCTATCCCTTATTACTGTTAAATATTTTAGTTGTTTTTCCGAGAAATTATTCACAAATAAAAAATATTTTGATATAATTTTTTTGTGTGTATTATTTACACTTAATTGAAGGAAAAAAAGTTAAGTTTAAATCATATTTGATTCATAAAAAAATATTATAATTTTATATAATTTTTATTTTATTTGCGCCGGAAGTTTCATGATTGATATACTACACCTTTAATTATAAATTGCTTAATAATAATAATAATAATAATAAATAAACAGTAAGATTATTGCACCGGTATTTTATAATAATAATAATAATAATTAGGCCAAAGACACGCTTATGTATGCGATATAAATGTGTTGAATTAAATTAATTAATTTAATTTAGATTTTATTATCAAATAAATAAATAAAATTAAATAAAAAAGGTTTATTAAATTAATATATAATACTATTTAGTATACACTACATAATATATTATTTATATAGTGTATAGATATGATATGTACATTAATATACCCAATAAGTTATGCCCATAAGTTATGGTAATTAGCCGATTAAGCCCTAACCATTAAGCACAGGTATGTTAGTTATATAAGTCATATAAGTTATATACAATTTATATGTGATATGATATTAGAGGACGACTACACTGTGGACTCATTTTTTTTTTGCTTAAAATTTTTAGTTTTTAAATGACATTTCATTCATAAAAATCTGTTTCTGTTAATGATTTCCTACGCAATGCTAATATCATATATTATATTATATACGGTGTGTATAATATAATATATTATTTTCTCAATTTCAAAAAAAGTTTAAAAAGTTAAATACTGTATAATATTGTTTATATATATATATAGTTTTTACGATAAGTTAAGAGTTTATTAATGTTTTATGTTTTTCATCAAAAAAAAAGTTTTTTTTTTACAAATCTCTGTTGTTTTCAATATAAATATATATTGAATGAAAAAAATAAAACTAAATCCAGTTTAATGACTAACCTGGAGGACTGACTGTCACTGATATCATATACAGGTATACATATAATAGTAGTAATTATTGTAGGACTGGTAGTATTTGATAGTATATTATATGATACTATAATCCTTGAAGCAGTTATACAAAAATCATGGGCTAATCGGTTACATTAATCTCCCGTTCCTTATATATATATATAATAAACCATATATTTTACTTTAGTAGTAGTATTTTTGTAGGCAATACCCAATTTCATTCATTCATAAAAAATAAATTCATTAATGTTTTTCATATGAATTTTATGCTCATATTTGGACAAATAGCTCACAACTACACACAACAAATGGCATTAATATTTTTAAATGAGACAAAAAAAACTACATTTAAAATATATATTATATATCTGTTACTATCGTTTCATTCATAAAAAAACATACATTAGTTTTCAAGTGCTGGTTATATACAGGTATATACATGTATATACTATCTATATTATTTACTATCTATCTATAGTATATATATATATATATAGTGTGGGCGCAAATGGCATAAACAGCGCCGAGTCCTCAAAAAAAAAATTAAAATTATAATAATAATAATAAAAGGCTTACATATATTATAATTTTATTTTCTTGTTTGTTATCATTATATTTATTATTATTATTTTTATTAACATAAATTTAAAAAAGTAAAAAATCATTTATTAACACAAATTTTATTATTATTTTATTTTTTTGTTTTTGAAAATAAATTGCTAAATGAAAATTAATTAGCATTTAATTAGTTGGCTGCCAACAAAACAACATTACAATTACAATAATAATAATTATAATAATAATAATATGACCACAAATTTTTTGGTACTCTCTCTCTCTCTCTCTCTCTCTCTCTCTCTCTCTCTCTCTCTCTCTCTCTCTCTCTCTCTATCAGCAAATGTTATGATAATTATTAATATTAATTTTTATTTATATAATAATAATAATAATAATAAAACAGTTATTGCATTAATCGGATGCAATCACTGGCACTGGTATTTCATAACCAACTATACCAACCAATAATAATACTAATAACCCGATGATTATGTGTTTATTTTGTTACCAATCGTCCACAAAAAAACGGTAGGTTTTTTTGGAAATCATGAGTTAGAGGAGGAGTTATCTTATGAATATATATATATATATCCCGGAGCCGATGGCACGCGTCATCTAACAGTATATATATATATTTAATACATAATATTGTGTAGTATTAGTTACCTGTAAATTACCTGTAAATAATAGTAAACTTAACGCTCGTGTATATAAAAAAAAAATTAGATACATATTTGTATATACAGTATATACTGTATATATATATTGTTAAATAAAAA